AAAAATTAAAGGTCACCGTTTATATATTGGTCACATATTTTCGAATTTGATGGTCACAAATTATCTCACTTCACAATCACAATTTAATAGTTTAGTCACAAAGAACCAAATAGTTGATCACATACACCAAACACCTAATCTCGATTCCAATCCACCACCAATACTTGGTCGCAAACACTACCCTCGCCACAACACCATAACAACCACTGCCAATAACACCACCACTCTAAAAACCAACAAACCCAACAAAAATACCTCAACCCGCACATATTCTTAGATTCGAATAAGTGTCTATATTTTTAGGTCCGAACAAGTGTATAAAATACACTTATCATAGAGCTATCATTCTTGACAAAAAAAAAAAAAAAAAAAAAAAACTACCCAAACTTTATTCTATGCCCTGCAGAATAGCCAAAAGATTAGAATATTGAAGTTTGATTATTTTAAAGGAACACAATTTGGAAGGTGGATTTGATGTTGATGTCCTTATTTTGTTCTATGAATTCCAAAAGATATAGGACTATTGATAATTAGTTCATCAATCTCAACAATGTTCAGAGTTATGTGCTCAAGAATAACAAACTAGGATTTAATTGAAATGAAATTGGGTTCGATTACATGATTATTTTTTACCACTTCATTTGGAAAGCACACAAAATAATCAAAATTGAAATAGACCTAGTCATAAACAGATATGATTAAGACAAATTTGGTCACACAAGGTCACATTTAACATATTAATGGTCACATACTTCAAATGTAAATTAGGTTCATCACAAACATTCATAGTTAACGAATATCTAGTTATACATGTCACTGTTGATAGTGACTGGGTCACATACAATTAGAGTTGAAACAGATCTGGCCATAAAATATGGGGTTATAATTGACATATAAATGGTCACAACTTAAAATGTAAATATGTTTTGTTACAAGCATTCACCGTTACATAAATTTCTAGTTACAAATGTCATTTGTTAACACATGCTTGATTACATATAGTCATGCTTAAGACAAACATGATCACAAGCAGTCAAAATGAAGGCAGAGTTGATCAAAACTTGTCATAGATAACATAGGTTTGGTAAACAATAATAACTTCTCACATAGATAAGGTCACAAGAAATGAAAACTTACACAATGGTCACAAATAGTCACTGTTATACGGAAATCAAATACAACATAGAACATATAGTCAATAGGTCACAAATTGCTTTTATCATAACTTATCAAATTAATTGATTGCAACTTATTTTTTAGTCATAAATCACAAATTTTATAGGTCAAGGCTTATATTGCGATCACAAATTATTTCTTTATCGTAATTTATCAAATTAATTGGTTACAAATTATTTCTCAATCATAAATTATAAATTTAATATTTTACAATCACAAAGACACAATTGTATGTTATAATTACAAATTTAGTCGTCGCAAGTTGCATGTTTTCATAGATCACAAATTATTAAATTGATTTGTTACAACTCATTTATCACTAAAAAATTATCAAATTAAATAATCACAATTTATTTATCAAACACAATTACAAATTTAGTCAAAGATTGCAGTTTTTTTAGGTTACATTATTTATTGCTCATAAATTACTCATTTTATTGATCACAACTACCCAACACTTCTACTCAAAAAATAAAAATAAAAATAAAAATAAAAATAATAATAATAATTAATAAAATAAGAAACACTTGTCACCATCCCACTGAAATAATTCTTCTAAGGACTGTGGGGGGTTTGCTGATAGGAAATTCTTGAAATTTGGATGATCAACTCGAAATTTTGCTACAGTAGGATCCACCTCAATACTTGAACTTACAAGTTCAATTTAAAACCTGATAAATCATCATGTAAAATTAAATGAGAATCAATACCACAAAAAATAAATGGCGATTTTACAACTCCTCTCAAGAAGAAAAAGTATAAATAAGAAGGAAGACTTGTTGTAACAACATATTGACAATTATTATTATTATTATTATTATTATTATTATTATTATTATTATTATTATTAGTTTTACTTTTTGTTTTTTTTTTTTGTTTTTTGTTTTTTTTTTGTTTTGTTTTTTTGGTGATTTTGGGTACTGAGTTGCATTTTTCTATAGCATTATTGGAATCACTCCAATGCACAAATTAACCATAGGACTCAAGTGTAAAAAAGGGAATCAAATAATTTTTCCACTTTGATTGGAATGGAAGTTCATGCGAGCACCTCAATGTTACCTTTTTTGCTTTTGTGCAAAAGTAAAATATCTCCTAAAGCAAGCTTAATTGAAATAGCAAGAATTTTAAGAAATTCTCAATCAGGAATTTGAGTGTTGATTCTGATTCGATTGATGAGGTCCCATATCTAGAATAGTAGCAGGATGAGGTGGTGATGCCATGGGTGTAAGTCTGTCTAGGTAGGTCCCATCGACGGCAGCTAAATTCAAGATTTTTGAAATTTGCAATTTTCATTTAGAAAGCTTTTCTTATAGATCTTGGGTCCTAGATGGTGTTTTGGGGCTAATTGAAGGTGGAATTGTGTTAGGGAGGTGAATTTAACGATGGTAGGTAGTGGGAACGATGGTGGCGGCCGATGCTCGTGAAATTGTCGGTTGTGTGTACATAGAGAGACTTAGCCCTCGTTTGGCCCCATTATTTTAAATTATAATTTTCTCTCTTTTATTTTCAACAACATAATTTTTCATTAACTAATATTACATGTACATCGAAAACTTTTATTTCTTCTTCAACCACACACTCCCAAAAATATAATACTCCAAAAATTATAAATTAAAATAATGATAGCCAAATGAGGACTAATATTAGGGATGGCAGTGGGGCAGGGCAGCAAGACCACGCCCCATTGGTCGCCCCGTTTAATTTTTTTTTTAATTTCAAATTATGTTATTATTAGAGAATAAAATATAAATTCAAAATTTTAAAATTCAAAGTAAACACTTGAAATAAACAATGTTAAAAATTAAACAATTTCAAATAAAATTACGTTTTGACCAAATTTTATTCCTTTTGTAATTAATTAAAATTTTACATTTGTATTTTATTATCTAATAATAATATAACTTGAAATTAAAAAAAAAAAATTCACGGGGCAGGGCACCCCCACCCCGCGACGAGGCGCCCCATCCTGCCCCGCCTCGCCCCGCCAACCCATCAGAGCGGGTTTTTTTGCCATCACTAGCTAATACTGAGATTTTTTAATAATTTAAGTTTATAAGTATTAGAATATATGTTGTATTTTTTTGAAAACATAATTAGGACAAATAAAATTAGCTAAGACCTAATTAGTGATAATGTAATCTTAAATACATGTTTCCCGATAATTTTCCCATTTTAGTATGTGTTTCAATTTGGGCCATTTTACCAGGTTGAGCGTAGAACAGTAGCCGCATTTAGGCGAAAATCCAATCCATGAACCATATTTACTTTAGCCCTTGTTCGATCTTATTTTAGGGAAAATAATACATTTTGAATAATACTAATAGAGAATGTGTGGTTAAAAATTAAAGAAAAATTTTGAATTTGCGTGTAATATTATTTTATTAAAAAATGTATAGTTAAAAATAAATTTTGAAAAAAAAAATGAATTTTCAGTAGAACGAGAATCAAACAAGGGTTATATGTATGTTTGGCAAAATTTGATTAATTTTTTTTATTGAACTAATAAAATATAATTTCTATCACACATTCCATGTTATAATTAAATTATTATCAGCATATTTTATAAAAATTCTAATTTATAATCAACTGAAAATTAAACTCCACTAATCACGTATTTGAGTCCAAATGTTAATAAATTTGTCACTACAGACGCCTCGAAACTTAAAAGTTAAAACCGGAAGCTTTTTTTGTTTCAATTAATTTTTTTCGTAAAATCAAAATTAAAATGAGCTGAATATATATTCAAGAGATGGCAAGATCAAATTCTAAATGGAATAACGCAAATGAAACTGACACAGAACAAAAAAAGTGAATAATAATAATAAAATGATCTTATTCATAACATACGAACGAATTTTGCTCGAATTTCATTTGAATGGAAGTAAGAAATATTGGAATCCACCAATTAACGAAAAAAAAAGAAATATTATTAATAAAAAAAAACGTATGTAGTCTTTTTTTGAACTTCTACATATATTTAAACCCTATTTGATAGAATTTATTTGGGAATAATGAGTTATTGATTAGTATTTTTTGAAAAATGTGTGATTAAAAAGTAATGAAATTTTATTGATTTGTATTTATAATATTTTATTGTTTGAATATATGGTAAAGAATGATCCTGTAGCAAACAATTTATATTTTTAAAGGATGACAAACCCGGTTAAAGATTTAAAACACATTTCGATCAAAACGAATTCCTAATTCTATAGATAAATCTGCATAAAGCTAAAAAAAAAATGGTAAAATGACTAGAATAAAATTAAACTGACTCAAAAATAAAAATTGCTTAAATAAACCCCTACATGATAAAATTTGACCTCGACAATTTGACGCCAATATCACCCGGTAAAAATGTGTACAATTGAAATATGCTTGTGAAATGTACTTGCTCGTGTAAATCTGACAGCTAGAGCCAAAAATTACGCGTATTTTCGTAACCCTTCTTATTTCGGACTTTTTCAAATAACTTGTAACTTTCCCTTCTAACTTATCCGCGTCAGAAAACGATAGAAAACAAAATTATACTATTACTCCTTAATTTTAGAATTTTTGGATCTAAAACGAGTAGAGAGCATCTTGGTCGTTGGTAAAGTGGACCCACAATATTTTATAATTTTTTTGGTAAATGGTATACAATAAAAAAAATAAAAATAAAAAATAAAAAACCCCAACCTTCCCATTGTCTTGTACTCTCTATTATCTCACACGCTTATCCACCTGTCACCGTCTTATACATGTCTCCCCCAACCCCACTTGACACGTGCCTAATCTTCTCTATCCAGCCGCACGCGTGCCATCTTCAGCTACTTGTTATTCTTCTTGTTATGCACGAATCCTCATGTGTGGTGCAACAAATAAAAGTTAGAGAGAGAAACTCAAACATTTGAGAGAGAGAGGGAGAGAGAGGGGTGCAAAACCTTGCACAAACGAGAAGAAACTCAACTTTAATATCCCCTCAGCCCTCTTCTTCTTCAAATTCTTGTATACTTTCCTGTTGTTAAGTTGATCTATGAGGATCAGGAAGCGTTTTGCACCGTCTTATTTTTCTTCGGAGCCCCTTGCAGATCTCCATCTCAACCAATCACTGTCAAATGGAAATCAAGCGAAGTCCAAATCCGATCAGCCCTCAAATCCTCCACTGCAGCCTTCTGACCAAAATATGGTGATAATCAAATGGGCACTGCACCCTAATGCTGCTATAACTGGAGAGCGAAAGGTAGGGGTTTGCTTGAAACTGCATCAAGAAGCCTATGCATTACTTTCTCTGCAAATATGTGGGATTTTCATTTTCTTGATTTACTTTTTGCAAGGAAATGGAAAGTGGGGAGGATGAAGAGAAGCCCAGCAGTGATGATATCAGGTAACATTTCAAAAAGGAGAGAGAAACTCAAGTAATATCTTGATTTAACAGCCAATCATAACATAATATAGATATATTTATATGTATAAAAGTAAGTGGAAATTAATACTGTTTGAGGGTGTTTTTATAGTATCCCTCCCTCCTCATCTACTCCTAGTTTTACAATTTTATGGGAAAACAAGAATGCTCCATGTGATGCATGTTCTCATGGTATATGTATGCTGGTCCCCATCTTTACATATTCTATACAAATCATTCTCCATGTTAATTGCACTTATTTTCGTTCTTTTCTCATTCTTCAGGAACGCAAGAATTTTAGTTCAAGAAGTAGATATCAAGTTTCTGCAGCCATCTTCTTCTTCTGATCCCGCAGGTAAACAATTCGTCCAGTACTGTTTATATATTTGTTAATATTTCATTACGTATTTGCACTACACTATATATAATCAGATGGGAGATGGAGAGAAGAAGATAAAATAGTTCCATTGAAGAAACGAAAAGGAACCCTGAATAGATGTGCCAGCAATGAGACATTGACGAAGGCGAGGATGAAATCGAAGACAAATAAAAAATGCGTGCAAGAAAAAGCTGATCATGATGGAAATTATTGTCCGAATAAGAAGAGGGGAAATTTTATATTGGAGGGATCCCGGTGCAGTCGAGTTAACGGGAGAGGATGGAGATGCTGCCAACCGACCCTAGTCGGCTATGCATTGTGTGAGCATCATTTGGGAAAAGGGAGGCTTAGAAGCATGACCAGTGTTCGTAAAAGCTCTAAGAGTGCACCAGTGGAAGTCCCATCTTCTACTGAGACTACTCGATCGATGTCATCTCTCTTGTGTGCCTTAGATGTGGAAGACTCGAAAGGATTGGAAGAAACTGAAAATGATGACGAGAAGAAACGAGTCAAGTTCACGAAGAAGAAAACAAAGGTTGGTATGGTGAAAGCTAGATCAATTAGCAGCTTGCTTGGCCAAATTGATAGCAAAAGATGAGTATAATTTCATGTAGAAGAAATTTGAATTATGTTGAAGATTTCAAGATGAATTCGAATATGTTTTTGCTCTTTCTTTTGTGTGTTTAACTCTAGCTATAAATTGTTAATCTGTGTCATCGTTTTATCGAAAAAAATTATATACACAAATGTGTGAAAACTTCTCTTATGAAAATATTATGCACCACCCTTTATTGAAGTGGCAATTTTCACTATTTATTTTGGCCAATTTACTAGTTATGATAATTGTTAAATGTACCAATATTCTTTCTTCTTTGAATACGTGTGAATAATTTCGAATGTCAAATAAACCATGTGAGTTTTTAAAGTGGAGTTGAGGATGGCGAGAGGAGAGCCCAAATAGGGGATCATCTTGCACACGAAGGGTGGGAGTGAGAGAAGTAGATGGGCATAGAGATTGGTGTTTCCTATTTCTTCGGTAATTACTTTCTTTATCCATTTTCTTTTTCCTTCTATCTCTCTCTTTTTTATTCATTTCTCATTTAAATTAGGTAATGCCACTCCAACTTCACTCTTCAAAAAGAAATTGAGATAAGAAATGGCTTAAAGGTTGAGT